CAGACACCCCTCCCCCCACCCCCCCCTCGAAGCTTACACCTACTTTTGCACACGTAGGTTTACTGCATACGTCTTTAAATCCTGTTCACGATACCGTCGCTGAGTGACAACCCCAGTCCTCTTTAAGTTTGACCCCCTTTTAAACTTTGTAAACATGTGTAATTTAAAGATCGGATCTGTACAAATTTGACACGCCTATCGACATTATTTAGATCTCGCAGGAGGCGGGCTGCTTTGACCATGACTGTCTGGCCGACCAGGGCTGAAAGGGACACAACGTCCCAGCAATGAAAAGGAGATACTCGACAAAATTCTCCTCACGTGTGAATCGAACTCTGCTCTTCTGCGTCCGACAGAAAGCTCCTAATTGCTACATCACATAATTATGTCAGTTTATAGGGCCTGCTTATACATAATATCGCACATTTCAGAAAATTTTGAAAATATTTCTTTGATGTGGTTTGATTTATTTGAGGTGGCCAGATTTTGCTTCATGAAGGAGAAAAAACTACCATTTTGGACAAAAGAGACTGGAGCAACTTTACTGTAACATACTACAGATGAACCTTTCTCAAGAGCACGATCAGAGAGAGTTATTTGCGTGGCACCCGAAATAGGTTACAGAACCTTGCAAATATAGTAGTTTTTAATAAGGTATAGTAAGAATTTCAAGGCTCTTGTGATATAAATAAGTCTCTTAAGTGCCGAAGATTGGAGGTGTCAATATTGAGTAACACACGAAGATAATTAGGAGAGAGAAGGACAATAGATATTTGAAAGGAAAGAAAGAGCAAAGCACACCAGAACACCCGTTAACTACTCATCAGAAAGAGTATATTTATTATATCCTCAGTCTTGATCCAGCTTCAGAAAAGAACGTTTAACTCTTGATACGATTTTTTCCTTTATTAGGCGACTTCGGCCGAGATGACGAGAATTAAGACACACGTTCTATGTCGTCTGTTATACACTTTGCCGATAGCATTCGACGCTGTGAGTCAGGGTGGCCTTTTCAAGACGATTCTGTGCAAAATTAGGTGTCCACCCAAACTCTATCGGCAACTATGGTGTAGCGGTTTGGCGCTTCACCATCGAAGGCTGTAAACCCTAGTTCGATTTCCTCTTGGGGAGAATTTTTATAGTTATATCGGTCTATCTGCTGAGTTGTTGTATCCTTCTCAGCCAGGGTTGAGGTTGATACGGGGAATCGAACTCCTGTCTCTTGAGTGCGACAGTGAAGCGCCTAGCAGCTACGCAACAAGCGCCATGTATTTAGAAAGTTTGGCCCGACAATTAAACCCTCCGTTAGACACACTTAACGTCTCACTACTGTTTACTCTGGGGGCGTATGTATTCGCTTGTGTTCTCCAAAACTGGTTCTCTGGCATATATGTACTGATCCATAGGGGAGAGTTTAGGAGATGTATTAACAGTAATTAGTTTGTGCTTTTATTTATTCTTGAATAAGGGGAAATATACAGGTGATTAAAAAAAGAAGGAACCGATTTCATTACGCAATATTTTTTCAGGAAAAGAAACGGAACACACACACACTAAGTGGCGCATATTGTACTCACAATCAAATCTTGTTTTCTGTCTTACAAGAAACGATGCTCGAGGACAGAAACTTTGCGTCATAAAATAGGTTCATTCTTTTTTTGTTGTTGTTACTCAAAAGTTAGGTAACTCGTCTTTCAAATCATCACTGACTCTTTCCGTAACGTTGCTTAAAAGAACCGAAGCAATACTTCATAAAAAGCGGTTCATTCTGTACAATGTCTTTTCGTTTCAATCTTTCCTGAATGAACATTTTCATCTTGTTTGTTCAAACATAAATGGGAAAGCCTCAGCAATGAAGGGGTTAATGGTGAGATGCTGAATCCTCTAGGTATTTATTTTTTCTGCTACAATTTCTCATGGTCTTGTCCAAATTGCAAGTGATTGCGGTGTTAGGGCGATGCTGGTAGGTCCTATTTCTTCTTTTTCCCCATCTGCTGTTAATGTTTGTCCATCTTTCTTTTTCTTGCACTAGACGGCTGTCATCATGTCGACCTGCTTATATTTACTCAAGCTAAAAGTACGTAAGCATTGCAGGGTCACAATATTTGTTCAGTGTTGGAATTGTTCAGTGGCGTCGGTGGCCTAGTGGTTAGGCTCTCGGACTCGCAACCGTAAGGTCGTGGGTTCGAATCCTGTCAAGGGCCCGACGTTGTGTCCTTGGGAAACGCACTTTACAAGAATTTTCCTCACTTCACCCAGGTGGGAATGGGTACCCGGCTATAGACAGCGAAAGATCTTGTCAGTTTGTTAGTGTTTGAGCGCTTAATCGGCTGCTCGCACTGTATGCTTCCCGGGAAGCTGAGAATGTTTCGGAGTGTTCTATGGTCTGCTGGGGTAATAATATAGTGTAAAGCGCATAGAGCCTGTTGTTGAGCGGGGATATGCGCTATACAAATGCTATCTATTATTATTATTATTATTATTATTATTAATTGGTGTAAAAAAAGGTAATTTTTACTATTATTTTTTACTTTTTTTTTGGGGGGGGGGGGGTTGGTTGATTTTCCATGTTCCTGTAAAACATTGCATCTGTAACCTCACTTCAGCCTCTATGGTGACCCCGGATTTGTGCATTAAGTCAATCAACTCGAAAAAGGGAAAGAAGGGGAGGGAGGTATACTTTACACGTACCCTTTTTCTTCAGTTATAAAGTGTCGGGGGGCTCTCGTGGCCTAGAGGTTAAGGTGTTGGCCTCTCATTCAAAGGTCCCGGGTTCGATTCCGGGAAGCGACCAACAAATTTTCTTCTCTAAAATTCTCTCCTTTCACATCCTTTCCTGATCTCTTGCAATGTTCTGTTGTCTGCTTTCATTTCCACTTTCTGCCCCCACCCCCTCACCTCCTTTGCCCCCTCCTCTGGGCTCCTGACTCTTTCTGCAGCCTTTCTACTGCTACTCCTTGGCTCCTCCTAACTGCTGTCTTTCTGCCACACCCCTGATCTTCTGGTAGGAAAGATCTACACCTAGCCTTCTCGGACAAGGGCGAAAAATCTCGGAGGGCCCGTGTGCAAGTTGCGCACGTTAAAGATCCCCTGGTGGTCTAAAATCGATACGAGTAGGCTTCGGCCGCCACCCGGGCAAAATTCAAAATTTCCTACCAACGAAAAAGTATTAGGTGTGTCCCGCGCGCTCATATGACCTTATGCAGTTTCGAGCGCCGTAAAACCCTATACTAAACAAACAACAAAAAGTCTCGTTTCCTTGTTCAAGGTGCTGGCCATCCATCGTGTGACGTCACGCATTCAGAATGACCATCATCTACCAGTACCGTGTGGCCACCACGTCACTTGGCGGTTTCCTCAAGCTGCTTCGTGCCTGGCGGGGCAGTGTGTACAAGCTGTTGTATAAGGAGCTCTGCATCTTTCTCGTCTGCTACGCCTCGCTCAGCCTGCTCTACAGGCTCGCGCTCACTCCCTGGCAGAGATCGTGAGTTGTGTTGTTTCTTGTTGCTGTTGTTGTTCTGTTGTTGTTGTTGTTGTTGTTGTTGTTGTTGTTGTTGTATTGTTGTTGTTGTATTGTTGTTGTTGCTGCTATTGCTGTTTTTTGTTCTTGCTGTTATTTTGTTGTTGCTGTTGTTGTACTGCTGGTGCTGTTGTTGTTGTTGTTGTTGTATTGCTGTTTTTGTTGTTGTTGTTATTCGTGTTGTTGTTAATGTTTTTCTTGTTGTTGTTGCTGATGCTATTATTGTCTTTCTTGTTGTTACCATGGTTATTCCATTAAATACCCCAATATACACAACGATTGCCAATAAAGCACCCTCGTATCCAATGACAGTTAACGTATAATTGAACTCCTCCACCAACAAACAAACTTTACAAAAACGCCATTCTTCCCTTCCCTCTCCCTCCCCCCTTTTATGATTCAACCCCCCCACCCCTCCTCCCCCTTTTAATGCTTCACCTCCCCCCCTTTTTTGTTTTTCACCCCAGAATATTTGAAAGTATCGTCTTGGAGCTGCATGCAGTCAGCAGTTCTATACCTCTGTCCTTCGTACTGGGCTTCTACGTCACAGTGATCGTACAGCGATGGTGGCAGCAGTTCTCCAATGTGCCTTGGCCTGACAGGTTTATCATCATCATCATCATCATCATCATCATCATCATCATCATCATCATCATCATCGACTGCGGTGGGACCGTCATTGGAGCTTGAGATGGTATAAGAACATTGTGAATGAAGAGCTCGTTGCCGAAGATGCAGCCATGAAAAGGAGGACGTCAAACATAATCATATTTGAATGTCAAGGAAAAATGGCAATTCGAATGGAGTTATTTGGACGAGTGGAGGTGCCTCTAAGTATAATAACAATGGAGCCGAAAAAGAGCCTTGCTCTCGCTCGAAGATTTCTTCGTGGAGTCCACCAGACCCATTAAGGAAACAAAATGAAAAAAAATCATCATCATCATCATCATCAACAACAACAGCAACAACAACGACAAGGTTGTACGAAAACAGAATAAAAACGAGACTAGAGATCTGCAAACACCTCTTTAGAAAGGGAGAGGGGGGGGGGAGGGGGTAAATTTGTTTTACAGTTTAACTGTAATAGCTTTTTCAAAAACCTTTTGAAAGAACAAGCGGGCAGCTTCTGTATAATGTACTACGTAATATAATTCCAATTAGACATAAACGTGAGAAATTTAGATTTCCAGATAACTGCGTCATCATTTTGAGTAAGGTTTTTGGATACTGGATGATGATCCGGATCCCTCTACTGGTTCATGACCCTGTCTGTTTGTTTCAGGACTCTTTTCATCACATGCACGTACCTGCACGGCTCCGATGACCGCGCAAGAATCATGAGGAGATCAGTGGCGAGGTGAGGAAGTTCATCATCATCACCATCATCTACCTTTTTTACCATGATATCGGATACAGACCGCCAGCCAAGATGGTCTCTCTCTCTCTCTCTCTCTCTCTCTCTCTCTCTCTCTCTCTCTCTCTCTCTCTCTCTGTGTGTGCGTGCGTGCGTGCGTGCGTGCGTGCGTGCATACGTGTATGTGGGCGTGCATGTCCAATTTATGTTAAACATCCATTGTGCTGCACCAATGTATGTAATTGCCGAACCATATGTTAAAATATGTGGATGTATGGGCCAAAGGCCTTTCAAACCAATAAATCATTTTGAATCTTTGAATCTCTCTCTCTCTCTCTCTCTCTCTCTCTCTCTCTCTCTCTCTCTCTCTCTCTCTCTCTCTCTCTCTCTCTCTCTCTCCCCACCTGTCTCTTTTCTAGCCATCTGCTCTACCTCCCAGTCAGCTAAGCCCCATTTGCTTGAGATCAGTTCCCAGATCTGATTCTCGGCCCCCCATCTCTTCTTCATCCAATGGGGATGTCACCTTAGGCTTTGTCTTATCACATTGAGGGCTGGAGCTGACTTCCTAAGCGCGGTTCCAATGCATGGGAGGAAGTTAAAGAGTGTTATAAAAATCGTTATGAGGTCAATTGTCCATGGAAATGTTCGGTGTTAATAGCACAGACACACATTACTATAGAATCCGTCTGTTTTTGACTTTGGTCATTTAATTTTGCCACACTCCTGTCAATGCGGATTAAGTAATTTAAAGGCAATAGCTTCGTTGCAACGCCAATCACCTAAGAAAATGATGAAATGGTATAGGTTTAACGCCCTTATCAACACCATTAGGTTATTTAAGAGGCGAAACCTCCGAGTTTAATGCCCATCTCCGAAAAGACCGAGCCAAATGGGAAATTCGTGTAACGTGCCTTTCCCCAAGGACACAATATCGGACCGAGCTGATAATCATCGGTAGGACTGAAGTAGTAACAGGTAACTGAGAACTTTAAAAACCTCTGTAAAACTGAAAAACTGAGAATTTTCAATTCAAATGGGAAGTCAGTTATTTTGTTTGGATGCGAGACATGGAATGCTTCTCAGACTTGCATAAAGAGGACCCAGGTTTTCTTGAACAAGTGTCTAAGAAAGTTTTTGAGGATCAAATGGACAGACAGGGTCACCAACGAGGAAGTGTTAAGGAAAACAAGACAGATCCCAGTCAGAGATAAGGTAGGAAGAAGGCGGTGCGATGGATTGGACATACTCTCAGGAAGCCAGGCAGCTGCATAACAAAGAAAGTGCTTGATTGGAATCAACAGGGTGAAAGATCAAGGGGGAAACGCGTGAAACCTTGAGGAGAATCATAGAAATTGAAAAGTAGGAAGACATGTAAAAACACCAAGAGGCTAGCCCAGGATAAAGAAAGGTGGAGCGTGTTTGTTCGTGGCCTATAACCCTGGTGCAGGATGAGAAAGACAATGATGATGATGGTGAAAGAATGACAACAGTTTAGCTGGATTGAAAACAGTATTTCTCCATTGTTATAGCTAGACGTGTTTTACTTTTATCACGGCCCAATCAAAGAAGCCCGCTTCCCAAATGCTCTAGGTTTTCCGAAAGGGTCGTAAAACAATTACAACCAATGCAACAGGTGCACACATACATTATTTCTAAAGAAAAGAGTGTGTGTATGTGGGGGGGGGTGGGGGGGGGGCTTAGTTTTCTTGTAAGAGAAACCAAACGGGAAGCGGGAAGCGGGAAGGAACGAAGACTAGTTCGTTACACAAAAACTAACTCTTTAACTTATGTACGTGTGAGATAAGCTTCGGGAGTGCTGGCGGCAGATTTTCTTTGTTCATACTGTGCACGTGCACGCTGTCCAGCTCCTTCATACATGCCCATTTAGCAAACAAACACACACCACAACAATGAAAAAAGACATATAAACACAATCTTTTCTCTCTCTCTCCTTCCCTCTCCCTCTCTCTCTCTCGCTCTCTCTCTCTTTTTGTCTTTCATTCATTCTTTCACACACACATACACACACTCACACACATACCCCCAGACACACGCACACGCATACACACATACACACACTCACACAAACACACAGCCACACACACACACGCTCGCGAGCGAGCGCATACCCACGCATACAAACAAATACAATTTGTATAATTCTCATTCTCGAAACCTCTTGCTGAGGATGTAATCACCAATGGGAAACACATGGGTCCAACAAAGTCTGTCTGTCTCTGCCTGTCTGTCTGTCTGTCTGTCTGTCTGTCTGTCTGTCTGTCTGTCTGTCTGTCTGTCTGTCTGTCTGTCTGTCTGTCTGTCTGTCTCTCTCTCTCTCTCTCTCTCTCTCTCTCTCTCTCTCTCTCCATCCCCCACCCTTTCCTTTTTCTGCGCCCGCGATTAAATAAGGAAGAAGCTTTGAAATGTCGGTATATCTAAACAGATAACGCCATGAGAGCATATCCATCATGTTTAGCATTTCGTGCAATGACACTTAAGGTGCTTTATGAAGCCTATCAGGTTTTCATTGCCATAATTATTAGGCCCAAATTGAAAAGAGAGCCATCCGTACGTTTCTTATGACGTTGCTTGGTGTATCTCGAACGAAACAGCTTAGGTATGCAAAAAATGAACGTTTAATGGTCTGTTCAGCTCAAAATAGCGTAAGACTAGACACAAACGCATTACTTTCAGCTCTTTACATGTCTGTTGAACACATGTATCCCTCCTTCCGTAACGTTAAGAAACTCAAAACACAATAAGGTCAAATAAGTGCCAAAGATTAGAGGTGTTACAAGATAATAACAATTTATAAGAAAAGGAGGAGAGAGAAAGGGACGACCGACGTTTGTTAGGAAAGAAGGAGCAAACCATACCAGAACACGTCCTGTCAAGCATCCACCTTCAAAACTTTCTCTCTAGCCATAACATGACAATGTCCAGTTTCTCTTTTTTATTTTGGTCTTCACCACACAGGTTGGTTGGCGAGTGCTCTGGAGTGGTTTGCTTCTTCTTTCCTATCAAACATCTACCATCCTTATCTGATACATCTCCTTCTTTTTTTGCGTTTGTTACTCTCTCGTAACACCTCTAATCTTCGGCACTTATATGACCTGAGAGTGTTGCAAATGGCGGACGCCTTAGGGCGTAAAACTCTTACTAATACAAACAAAAGACGTGTTTCTTTTCACACTTAGCACGGACTATATCTGTCCACCTCTTCTAACGACAGTCTGTTGAAAGATGGAAAGGCCTTGACAAAATATTATTATAGACGCCCCGTAGCTTGGAGCCCGCCTTTAGAGAAAGTCTAATCATAGGGTGTTAACTCCTCTCAACAATCTCTTTCTCACCCTCCCCATTCTCTTTCTCTTTCTCTTTCTCTGGCGCTATGGACATCACCACCTCA